GGGATATACAGGTGTGGATTCCAGCTGGGGGTGTACAGGTGTGGATTTTAGCCTGCAATCTAGAGGTGTGAAATCCAACCTGCAATATGTAAGTACAGGTTCCAGATCGGAATGTTCAGGGTTGGGTGTGAACTTGAGAAACAGGTGCAGATTCCATCCTGAAATGTAGGTGCAGGTTTGAGCCTGGAATTGGTATGAGTGGTTCTTTATTTACCACTAAGTGGCAAAGTATTACATTGTTTGAAGCAGAATCTTGAGGAAGTTCAAATGATTGGAGGTGGGAAAGGAAGAGAGCATTCAATCAGATTGGAACTGGCTTGAAGACCAAATGAACACCAAAGCTCATAGACAACAAGGTGCAGGGCTGGATGAACACAGCAGGCCAAGCAGCATCATAGGAGCAGAGAGGCTGACGTTTCGGGCCTAGACCCTTCATCAGAAAAGGGGGAGGGGAAGGGGGTTTTGAAATAAATAGGGAGAGAGTGGGAGGCGGATAGAAGAGGGATAGAGGAGAGGATAGGTGGAGAGGAAACAAACAGGTCGAAGAGGCGGGGATGGAGCCAGGAAAGGTGAGTGTAGGTAGGGAGTTAGGAAGGGGATAGGTCAGTCCAGGGAGGACGGACAGGTCAAGGGGGCGGGATGAGGTTGGTCGGTAGGAGATGGAGGTGCGGCTTGAGGTGGGAGGAGGGGATAGGTGGGAGGAAGAACAGGTTAGGGAGGCAGGGACGAGCTGGACTGGTTTTGGGATGCGGTGGGGCCATCCTGAGTGGTCTCACACAGAAAGTTTTTCCACACCATTGAACTGTTCTCCTCATGCTAAAAAACTGAACTCTAAGAGCCCTGTGTCTGTTTGACCACTGGCTGAGATTTGACCTCCCAGTTGGTGTTGTTTTTCCCTCCCATCATCTTCTGTTTCCTTAGCAACCTTAGCAATGGGCTAATTTCTCATGGATCTGATGTCACAGCCAAGAATTCCATTTTACATGGCCCCTCATCTCAGAAATCTGGAGTTATGGATACTTTTTCAGCTGGGGACGGTCTTAAAAAAACATAGGCTTTGAAATCACATTAAATGTAGACAATAATTTGCAGACTATGGATTGCATTAAAGTACACATGCCATGCACAGAAACATACACAGACACAGAAATGCTCACAAATTCAGGAGTATAGACACACATGTACATGCATACACACACACACACACACACACACACACACGTACAGAAACAAGAACACACTCAAGACCATGCAGACAGAAATGCAGAAACACACAGCTATACTGTTCTATGTTCTATGTTCACACGTTGATTAGAATTTAGTGAATTTGTTGGTGAGTTGGGCTTTAACCAAGCAGAAGATTGGTGGATGTTGACCCTGCCACCTTCCCATTTCTGCCCAAATAGGTCTGGCGCGGTAAAGCTCATGGAAGTGCTTCCCATCCACCACCAATTGAGGCTCTTGTGCCCACTTAAGGTCTCATCCCACCACCACTGGTTTTCATCCAGTGGTAGACAGAAGACTAGCCCACAGCAATTGCAAATAGAAATCCCCACTGGGGTTGCCTTTAGGCATCAGAGAGCAGGGGATAACTTGTTCAAAGGTGTTCAGTGCCTGAGAGAGGGACTTAGTATGAAGCGGGTGAAGTAGGGCTTTGCTGCCAACTCCTGTCTCTCTTCTCCTGTGATACCCACCCATGATACTCTCCCACAATCACCCATTTGTGATCCGGACCTTCCAGTTCCTCTGACTCTCATTAACAGCATCAGTAACTGCTCCCCCAGCCAAGCAATGCATAATTGTCAGCCTCTGGCTCAAGGTATGCAAGATTTCAGCTACTGGAGTCCTTAATCCTTAGAAAGGCCTGATGTTGCCCAGTTGTGAGCCTGATTATGTGCCTGATGTGACTTAATTCAGCAATGCCTCAAAAGATGATGACATAGGACTCTCATCTACTCTCTATACAGGTGGCAAGGGAGAGCCATTCCAGCACCACTTCCCTGAAATGCCATTAAAATATAAACACACGCACGCAAAAAAGCAGACAACAATATGCACATCGATCAACTGATGGTCCTCGTACCTTTGAGTCAGAAGCCTTGTCGATCAAAGCCCTGCAGTAGGACTAGGGATAAACTGGAAGTACAGTATTGATGGAGCACTGCAGTGTCACAGTGCTATTTTGTTGGAAAGTTAGAGCAGTTACTCCTTGGCCATTGTTATCCTTCAAATTACATCACAAAACAGGATTATTTGGCATTGGAGGCATTTGCTGTGCTCAATTTGGCTGCTGCTTTTCTTGCATTACAACTGGCTACACTTCAAAAGCACTTTATTGGTTGTAATGCACTGTAAAAGATTGAATGGTCCTGAAAATTTCCATAAAAGTGCAAATTTCTCTTTATGTAATGAACACACATCTACAAACAAATTCAACACACGCTCGTGCACATACATAGACTTCCTATTGGACACAGTAATAATGATGCATTTAGGGATGATGCATAGCTGCATTTATCCTTCCTGAGCCATGGTAATTATGGTACTACAAAACCACTGAAACCTCCCCCAATCCCACTCTTGAATCCAACTATGATTGAGGTAATTGGACTTCAGGATAGCAGTTTGTAAAAGCTGGGATCTGTATTGATGTGACTCAATGCCTTACTGTAAAATACCTTTACCTACTGATCGTCAGACACTGATAGCATCTATTTTATTGAACGGTATGTGTGCTTGTTCATTGTGTGAAGTTACACAAACATTGACAGTGTTATCCTATTTTTCAGAGGATTATACCTAACAGTGATATTCTACAAGGATAATGACATAATTGTGACACATGAAGAACAGATTCCAGTGGTAGAGATGGATGATTCATATTCAAGCTCACTGATGCAAGATTTTCTTTGGTTCACAAAGGTATATTAATGAAATGAACTGTCAAATCATTAATGAGATCCAACTTGAAGAAACTTTTTGTGGTTGAATGAGTAAATGTTCTTTGAATATGCTGAATTGTATGATCCTAGAAGCTCCCAGGTTGGATCAATGTTGTTTGCAGAGTGGGAAAGGGTTTCGGTGCTTACAGGGAATTAAATCCCCTAAAACAAATAGTGGGTCTGGAGTCATTCTGTCCTCTTCTGGTTTTGCCGAAGGCAGGTACCAAAGCAGGAAACCTCTTGGGTCTAGCAGCAAAGAAAATGGCCAATTAAAAATGCAATTAAGACCTCATTAACTCTGGATTTCTTCTTTCCCACCCTGCATATTAACCCCATTCTTTGCTCTCTTGTGGTCTAGTGGTAGTGTCCCTACCTCTGGGCTGGAACGCTGGGGTTCAAGTCCCATCTCCTTCAGAAATGTGTCATATTATGTCTGAACAGGTTATTAAAAGTATCTATCCATGCTGAGCCTGCACCTCAACTTATACAATTAATGGTTGGGCCTTGGGTAGTGTTGTAGAAGAGGGACCTAGGGATTCAGGCACATAATTCTTCGAAATTTGCATCACAGGTAGACAGGGTTGTTAAGAAGGCCTTTAGCACACTTCCCTTCATTAATCAGACCTTTGAGTATAGGAGTTGGGACATCATGTTGAGGTAATACAGGACATTGATGAGGCCTCATCTGGAGTACTGTGTCCAGTTCTGGTCACCCTGTCAATAGGAAGGATATTATTAAACTGCAGAGTGTTCAGAAAAGATTTACGAGGATGTTGCTGGGAATGAGGGTTTGACATATTAAAAAATGGTAAGTCTGGGACATTTTCACTGGAGTAGGAGGTTAAGGGGTAATCTTACAGAGGTTTATAAAATCATAAGGGGTATAGAAAAGGTGAATGACAAGGGCCTTTTCCCTTGGGTGGGAAAGTTCAAAACCAGGTGGTATATTTTTAAGTGTAAAAGATATTTGGATAAGTTCAGAAATAAGAAAGGTTTGGAGGGATATGGACCAAGCACGGACAGGTGGAACTAGTTTAGTTTGGGAACATGGTTGGCTTGGACTGGTCAGACTGAAGGGTCTATTTCTATGCTTTATGACTCATCAGATTGAAGAAGGTGAATTCACATCAGGAACTCACAAAATGAAACTGAAACTTACCTGATAACAACAGTGTAATGGCTCATATCAGCAAGCTTGTGGTCAATGTTGTGACAGGAGCAGTTCTTTTAGCTTAAATGCACTGACTTTTGTTAGGGACAGCAACTTTGTGCATTGACTGTTAAGTGCTGTGGATTCCTCGGGGTTCATTGCACCTTATTGCCTGTAAGATTTCTCTGCAACATTGATCTATTAATTCTTAAATTACTTGGGAATTCTGAGGAGGAGGTACAGCTTTCTCCAGTCTAGCAATGGAGGCATCAGGAGTTGTAACTGTTTTCACAGCCACATGCAACTATGTTGAGGACAGGGCAACACCACAAAAGAGACAGTTCTCATAGACAAGAGTATACAACCTAGAAGATAGCTTCCTCGATTTCTGAAAACAACAGTGCCTCAGAAATTCAGACTCTGGTGGAAAGAAGTCACAGAAATCTGGAAACTTTTTGAAACAGATCTCCGGCTAAATGGTTGCATGTGACTGATAAGGTGACCAAACATATCTATTTCTTCGTTTGCCTTTTTCCAGGCTTTTGTTGCTGGCATCTGTAGGACCTTATAACCTACCCCTCCTGGCCATGCGTTTGTGAAGAGTTGAAACTATATCTCAATGTGGATGAGGCAGTCAAATCCAGAAGGATATTGCTTTTGCTGCAGGAATTTAATAGTTCTAAGAGGCCAGAGTCTGTACCCATGTGACAATGAATGTGCCATCGGAACAGCCAAGCATCTTTTTTTATTTGGAGGAGTGCAGTTGGTCAGTGATCATTGAAATATAATGCAACTCAGTGCCACATATCCAGGAACTGTCTTGAGTTTTCAGCATTTGGTAGTTTAAGGTTCTGCACCCTCAACATTTGGCTTCTGGCAAAAAAAGACCTGGCTGAAAACCCCAGTGAGGACCCCACCTCAGAGACACAGGAGAAGTACAATTGGAGCTATGTCATCACCTGACAATCAAATCCCCTACTTCCCCAGATCCTTCAGACAGTTCCAATTTACTTACTTAGATAGATTCCCAGAAAATGTTAGATGGAATAATCCGAGCCTAACTCCAGAGTAACTATAGGGCTGGCCTGCCCAACCCCTGACTCGACCTGCCTTACTCCTCCACCCGAATTCCACCCCCAATACTTTGATTACCGCTTCCTGATCCCCTAACTCCTACTGGCCAAATCAATCTAGACCTCAACCTGAAAATCCCTCTCAAGCCAATCTGTCTACCCATGTCACCTAGGTGCCAACCTGTTCAGCTACCACACAAATCTCTTAACCATTTACCTTCCCCAGCCATCCATTCATTTAGACAGCACATATTCACTCATTCATTCACAAATGTCTCTGTGTGCGCGTGTGTGTGTGCGCGTGCGTGTGCGTGTGTGTGCGCGCGCGCGTGTGTGTGTGTGTTGGAGGGGGGGTGCAGGCGGTGGGGTAGCTTGTTTTCCTCTGGCAACTTGGCAATAAGAAGGAGTTTGACTTAAAGCACGCTCCTCATTTCTGAAGAAGATAGGATCAGAAATCCTGAAAAGTAGTGGTAAAATCTAAGAGCAGAGTGACAAATTGATGGCCATTTTTGCCCCTTTAAAGAATCAGGCTCCTCATTTTCTTTCAATTTTTGGATCTAGCATCAGTCTTCTTTAGCTTTCTTTTACTGCATTGAAAACATATCTTACTGAGCTCAGATTGCTCTAACTCATTTCATATAGTTTCAAGCAGAAGTTTTGGTGTTCAATCTCACTTTTGGTCTTGTTTCCTTGGCAATTGGGAGGGTCACTTTTCAAGGGTCACTTTCCCTTTCAGGTTTGTTTTCCACTTTGACTTTTTAATTGGAGTCTGTCTCGAAGTATAAATCTGATTACATGCTGCAGAGAGGATTGAAGCTGGTGGAAGAGAAAGGTAGATGAGAAGGAGCATCCTGAAGTATCTGCAGTCACAGACCTGTCTTCCAGAGATGCCAGTGACAGACTCATCCGGACACTTCACTTGTAAATTCTCATGATACGTTTGCCTGCTTTCTTTCAAGATCCATGTACAACTCACCTCAACATTCAACAGACAATATATAAATTAATTGCTTCATTCAACTAAAGAACATGAATGGAAAAGTAACAATTTAATAAGCTTCAAACAAATCCCTTGGTGTAACTAAAACATTTTCCTCATATACTTTTCATAGTTACTATGTGGTGCTATCACTGTGGCTTTGGTACAGCTCATTTAAGTTCCTTGCTTCCATGTTTTGACACAGGGATTTCAGTTTTTGTGCCAAAAAACACCCAAATCTGTACAGAAGTAATCCTTGTCATCAGGATATCAGTCAACATGTCTGGCTTTGTCTCAGGGAGGAGGGAGGGCAAGGGCCAAGCAGTGGGGAGCCTTGAAAGGAGCTCCACTGCCATTAGCTCTTTCTCTACCTATCTTCTCAGCCCCACTTACAATTTTCTAACACACAAGACAGCAGGAGAGCACTTGCTACATGTCAGTGTGGCATTGCATTATTCAGATGAAGTTTTGATGGATATTCTGTAAACTGGCTAAAAGAAACAGGCCAGTGTTAATAGAGATAGTAGGAGCTGCAGATGCTGGAGAATCTGAGATAACCAGGTGTAGAGCTGGATGAACACAGCAGGCCAAGCAGTATCAGGGGAGCAGGAAAGCTGACGTTTCGGGCCTAGACCCTTCTTCAGAAATGGGGGAGGGGAAGGGGATTCTGAAATAAATAGGGAGAGAGGGGGAGGCGGATAGAAGATGGATAAAGGAGAAGATAGGTGGAGAGGAGACGGACAGGTCAAAGAGGCAGGGGTGGAGCCAGTAAAGGTGAGTGTAGGTGGGGAGTTAGGGAGGGGATAGGTCAGTCCAGAGAGGACAGACAGGTCAAGGGGGCGGGATGAGGCTAGTGGGTAGGAGATGGGGGTGGGACTTGAGGTAGGAGGAGGGGATAGGTGGGAGGAAGGACAGGTTAGGGAAGCGGGGACAAGCTGGGCTGGTTTTGGGATGCGGTTGGGGGAGGGGAGATTTTGAAGCTTGTGAAGTCCACATTGATACCATTGGGCTGCAGGGTTCCCAAGCGAAATATGAGGTGCTGTACCTGCAACCTTTGGGTGGTATCGTTGTGGCACTGCAGGAGGCCTCGGATGGACATTCATCTAAGGAATGGGAGGGGGAGTTGAAATGGTTCGCGACTGGGAGGTGCAGTTGTTTGTTGCGAACCGAGTGTAGGTGTTCCGCAAAGGGGTCCCCAGGCCTCCGCTTGGTTTCCCCGATGTGGAGGAAGCCACATCTGGAACAGCGGATACAGTATACCATGTTAGCAGATGTGCAGGTGAACATCTGCTTGATGTGTAAGGTCTTCTTTGGGCCTGGGATGGGGGTGAGGGGAGAGGTGTAGGGACTGGTGTAGCACTTCCTGCAGTTGCAGGGAAAAGTGCCGGGTGTGGTGGGGCCAGAAGGGAGTGTGGAGCGGACAAGACAGTCACGGAGAGAGTGGTCCCTCCGGAAGGCAGATAAGGGTGGGGAAGGAAAAATGTCTTAGGTGGTGGGGTCGGATTGCAGATGGCGGAAGTAACAAAGGATGATGCGTTGGATCCGGAGGTTGGTGGGGTGGTGCGTAAGGACGAGGGGGATTATGTTTTGGTTGTTATTGCGGGGAGGGGGTGTGAGCGTTGAGTTACGGGAAATGCAAGAAACATGGTCGAGGGCATTCTCGACCACTTACGGGGGGGAGTCGCGGTCCTTGAAAAACGAGGACATCTGAGATGTTTGGGAGTGGAATGCTTTATCCTGGGAGCAGATGCGGCGGAGGCGAAGGAATTAGGAATAGG